GGGTTCAAATTCTGAATGTTTTGAATAACATGGATATTCTAGTATAATTCTCAATCGTTTCAATAGATAAATATTTTCTTTTATTTGAGTTGGCTAATATTTTAGATTATTGACTATCTTAAATGTTTCTATCTAAAATGCAACTCATAAATCACTTATTTTAACACGAATCGTGTATATTTTATTAAATACCTACTTGATATATATATATATGTAAATATTTTTCCTAAACTGCATGAATATTATTTAAAATATTAAAGTTGAAAATAACACTTTTTAATGTATTTTTTAATGAAAAATAGCTGTGTGTTTTAACCGACTGCGCCAAGTTTTTTAAAATGACAGGTGATGACATATTTTGCTTGTTGTTCTACAAATTTTTTTTATGCATAATTTAAGAAAATTATGTGAGCGCATTTTTAAAAAATAATAAGTTGACATAGAAAAATCTTAAAATGTTTTAAAATATTTTAATCTAATTTTATAATATTAATTATTATAATTTAAATTAAAAAAAATGAAAACAATTTTAACAAAATTATTCGTTCATTCATTAGTGTCCTTAATAAAAATTTTAAAAAACCAATTGAAAGCTTTTCTAATCAAATAATGTTAACTTTTATTGTATTTTTTTTATTTTTTATTTTACAATTCTGAAAAAAACGTTATGAAACAAAAAAAAAAAAAGGGCGATATTGTCCAAGGAGTCCTGCTTTTAACTAACTAATTCTGGGCAAATTTTGGGATAAAATTTAATTTTTCAAAATTTCATGAAATTAAGTAAATATGGGGCGGTAAGAGCGGTACAAGAAAAATTTTTAACGATGTCCTTAAAATAAAAATGTGATGCATAAGTATAGGATAAATCCAAAAATTCGCTAAAAAATGACTATAAATAATGAAAATAAATGTTTGCCCTTAATGTTGAACAAAGTTTTATCGTCAAAATTTTTATGTTATTAAGAAAAGCCAAAAAGTATTTTTTAAATTATTATTAAATATATATTTTCTAATCCTTTTTAGAACTTTCAAAATATGTTTTTAATTTTTTTCTTATGTCATTTAAAACCATAAATTAGTATGGAAAATTTTACGAACACAAATAAAAATACATTGATTTGGAAAATCAGATCAAAAATCAAATCATGTATCTTTCGATAATTGAACTTTCAGATGTTGTATATAAATTAATTAAATTATTTTGTAATTTTTTTTTTTTTTTCAAAACCTGATCAAATTAATTGTTTACACCATCCATCCATGCCCATATCATTAATTTTGTGAAATTTCAGAAATTAAAATTTATATAAATGTAGATGAAGTCCTTGGAATTCCAACTCATGATCAACCCCAATTTTATAGAAATAGCTCTGAATCGTCAAATAAAAAAATGCCAAAAAGCTAAGACTTTATTCGATTAAGTAAAATGTAAATTGAGGTCTTCTTAAATGACACTACTGTCTTTTGAAAAGAAAGGGATTGATGAATAATGAATTTTTAAAAGAATTGTTTTTCATTTTTTTTTTAAATGTTTAATTATAATAATTTATAAAGTTTAAAGTGCAAGTTGAAAAAATTTAATTTGTCCAGGTTAGGTGATATTGTTACAAGTAAAAAAAATATTTATCACAAATGGAAAACCAATACATATTAGTTTTGTTGAAGTAACAGTGAAAATTAGGTGTATTATTTTTTTTAAGAGTATTTTTTTTTTTTTGTTGATAGAATAATTTTGAGACAGTTTTGCTGACAAATAGAATCGTGCAAGATAATAATATTGCTTCTTCTAATAATAATAATTTTCAGATAATTTTTCATTATCAAAATAAAACAATTAAATACAATTTTAAGTGCATTTGTAACTGATCAAGATCTTTGTCTCCGTATTTGAATAAATTAAAATTGAAAAATAAGAAAATAAGAAAATCCTTGAACATCAAAGAGATTTATTAATACAAAACAGTACCGTAAGAAATATGGGCTATATAATATCCGATGGATAAATTTCGTTTAATTATAAATAAATAACACTGAAATATATATATAGATATATAAAAAATATATAATAAATACCATAGTAAAGACAAAAAAATTTTAAGCAAATACGCCATTATTATCTCACCAGATATCAAAAAACTTGCCTCCTAATGATCTGGACGGTCCAGCGTTTGTTGTAACATATCACCAAGGAATTTGAAAAACTATCAAAATACAAAGACCTTTATTGAAATTTAAAAATGTGGAAATTGAAAAAGGTGAATAATACCAGTGGTAATGTGTGTGCTTGGAATTATAAAAATGGAACAAAATGTTTAAAAAATCCCTGGAAACCCCACTGGAGACATACAGAAAATTGTCTTAATAAGTACACGACACACTGAAACACTTGTGTATTATGGTAGCAAGTTCATCGGAGATAAAAAAAAAAAAAAAAAGGAGAATTTTTTTTTGACCATAACAACAGCACTGACCATTTTTAAATATATTTCCGATGGACTTGATCCATGTCGAGTAGCAGAAATCGAATGATGATGATGATAATAATAATGATAATAATTTAATTATTATTATTATTATAACCAATTATTATTGAGCAAACTTTATATATAATAATCTAATGAAATCCTAAATGAATCATGAAGGTTTTAAATATCTCATGCAAAAACGAGGTGAAACAGATGATCCAAAAATTATAGGCCAATAACATGTCTGAACTACAAATAAATTGGTAACGTCTGTCCTGAATTTCCTTATATTTTCTTTTCATAACAAACGATATTTTTTCCATTTAACAGAAGGGATGGAGGAAAGTTTCATGGCTGCAAAGATCAACAACATAAATAAAATGATCCTGGAATATTGGAAGAAATTTGTTGAATATTATACAATATGGATAGATTAAACAAAAAAAAGCTTGGAGTTTAACACCCTTGATTTGTTCAAGACTTTGAAATGTACATTTTTCTTCCCTCAATTAGTATATTTATTAAATATGCCATCTCCAACATCACTAAATACCCGATTTCATGTTCCAAAAATAAAATCTTGTTGCCCCATCTGTTCTGTTTGTGCTAAATTATTAAATTATATAAACAAAAAAAAACACCGATACAACGTAAAAAGAACGTATAAAATCATACTCTTTTATATATACCAAGCAGTACAGTTGAATTGAAGGTCTGGAAATAATTTAAAATGTTTCAACGACGACATTTTACCGATTTCTGATTAGATAAATGTACAAAAGATAACATTCAAACAACGCGTAATTACAAAAACACACTCAATATATATATATATATATATATATAATATAGACAAGTTTTATCTATTTATTTTAAGTAAGTTCCTTTCATATTGTCTGATAAGCTTAATCACATTATCATTGAAAGACGAAAGGAAATCACCATATTGATATGTTTTAAATCCAATCTAAGCTTTCGACTTACATAAGCCATTATCAAAGATGACAATTTTCAATAAATCAAACAATACACGGACGAAAACAATGATAGTCTGCCTTTTGCTGCATGAAAATTTCAAAGTAACGACAAACTCTTATATACGAGACGCGGAAGCGAAAATCGCGTCGCAGCTCGTGACGTTACATATGACCACGCGAGAGTAAAAACGAGAAGTATTAAGTATGGGAAGCCGTTATATATATATATATATATATATATATATATATATATATATATATATATATATATGAAAGAAAATATTTATTTTATCAAACAAAATTTTTCAATATGTTTTAATGTTAATTTAGAATTTTTTGTTTTAATGTTTAAATTTATTGTTTTTATCTTCAAACATATTCATAAAAAATAATTAACATTATTAATTCATTAATTAAATAATATAAATACCTGGACATAAAAATGTACTGAATCAAAACAGATAAAATAAATTTTTCAAGATCGGATTTTAAATATTTATATTTTCAAAAGATACAATGCTCGAAAACGGAACATATAAAACTTGAATTAAATTTTTTTCTTTTTCATTTTAATTCAAAATAAATATATTTAGGAAAAATTTTTATATACCTCGCCCATAATTTTTCAACACTGAAATTTTTGTTCTTGAAAAATATTTGCATTACGATCTACTATCCTCTATATGCCAATTCAAACTGAATGTAAATAAAAATTCACAATCGCAATAATATTATAAAAGACAAAAATTCTTAATGAGTGTATTCTTTTTTATAAAATACAGTATTCTGTACCTTTTGATAAAAAAATTATTCATGAAAATCTTTCAAATACAAAAGACCTAGGTTGAAATAAATTTCCAACATAACAACATGACTAAAAAAAAAAAAATTTTTTTAAAAATTTATTTCATTTCTTTTTAATAAAATAATTAATATCAAATGATATAATAATAATTTTTAATAATAATAATTTTAATAATAATAATAATATTTTTAATGGATGTTTAACAAAAAGAAAAAAAAAGAAGAATTTTTATTTTGATTTTAGGCGGAATTCTTAAATAATTGCAACAAAAAACAAAACAATAATTTTAATAATAAAATATATTTTGGAATAATAATAAAATCGAATCTTCAAAAATGTTTCATGTATTTTTTAACAATTAATTTAGTATTTATCTTTTCATTGTTTGAATATTTTTTTTAAAAAAATTCTTGGAAAATCAGGCCTTCAGAGATAACAAAAACTTGTTCTGACAAGTACAGCATTATATTTTAAATATGTTTATCTAATTTTTTTTTTTTTTGTTTGTGGAGAATCATGATAAGCCATTTTATAAACTTATCTCCATGGAAGGGACCCAAAATTCCAAAAACCATCACTAATAAAAAAAATAATCCATAATTTCAAATTTATAAAAATAATAATAATAATAATAATAATAATGAGAAGAAGAAGAAGGCTGAAGAAGAAGAAGAATTTTTGAAGAAAAGAAGCTAGATGATTTTAAGATGTAGAAGATGAAGAATGATTTTTTAATCAAAAAAAAGTATTTACAGAAAGAAAAGGAAAAGAATGGATAATGACGAAAAAAAATAAATAAGAAAAAAAAATTAGAAAAAGAAAAAAGAATAAAAAGGTAAAAGAAATACAAGAAAGAAAAGGACTTAAATAATGAAACAAAAAATTATTTCCGCTAACGATTAAGAATTAAAGAAAGAAAGAAAAGAAAGAAAAAGAAAAAAAAGAAAATGAAAATTGAATAAAGAAAGAAAGAATAAAGTGCAAATAAAATATTCGATAATATATTTATTTACATTCAACATGAAAAAATGGGGTCAAATAATGGAAGAAACCAAATTTCCATAGAAAGAGAGAAAGAAAGAAAAGAAAGAAAGAGAGAAGAAAAGAATGAAGGAAAAATTATAAACTCCATCAATGAAAAATGAAAATGAAAACAGAAAAAGAAATTAAACAATGAAAAAAAAAATGAAAGAAAGAGGGAGAAAATTATAAAAGAAATAACGAAAAAAAATAACGAAAGAAAGAAAAAAAGATAATTATTAATGAATGAAAGAACAAAAGACGGAATGAAAGTCGGCAAGGAATGACGAAATATAAAAGTGATAAATAAGTGTTGAGGAAGAAAATAATTTATAAGCAAAATGAAAAAGAAGCAAAAGAAATTACGGACAGAAACAAGAGAAAGAAAGAAGGAAGGAAAAGAGAAAGAAAGAAAAAGAATACGAAAAGAGATAAGAAAGAAATAATAACGCATTATGAAATGGAAAATAAAGAAAGAAAGAAAATTTTCATAGAAATAAAGAAATGAAGAAAGAATAAAAATAAATCCAAATTTTCAAAAATGATAAAACAATAAATAAAGAAATGAAGAAAAAAATAAAAAAAGAAACAAATAAAAAATAAAATAATAAAAATTATATAAAAAAAAAAGAAAAAAGAAAAAAAAAAAGAAAGAATAAAGAAAATAAAAATAAAAACATGGAAAAATGATAAAGCAATATGAAAAAAAAAAAAGAAAAAAAAAAAAGAAAGAAAAAGAAAATAAGGAATAAAAAAAAACATAGGAAAAAAAAATCTTTTGATAATATGAATTTCAAGAAAAAATCGAAGAAGAAAAATAAAGAAAAAAAAGAAAAATATTTAGAATAAAGAAATACGAGAATAATATAAAATTATAAAATAAATATGAAAAATTGATAAAGAGCAAAAGAAAGAAAATAAAAAGAAATGAAAAAAAAATGGGAAAAGAAAGAGAGAAAAAAAATTAGAAAGAAAAAAAAAATAATAAAAGGAATACCGAAAATAAAAAAATATAAAGGAAAGAAAAGAAAAAAGAAAGAAAAAAAGAAAGAAAGAAAAAGAAAAAAAAAAGAAACAAATAATCAGATAAAATTATAAAGGAACATTTTTATAGAAAAACTATCTGAAAGAGAGAAAGAAAAAATGTGAAAATCAGATGAAAAATTCATTCAAAAAAAATGAAAAAAGAAATAAGAAAATAAATGAATTTATTTTTTAAAAATATAAAAGGTTTTCTAAAAAAGAAAAAAGAAAGAAAAGTATGGAGATTGGATTAAAAAAAAAGAAAAGAATTTAATGAAATAAAAAGAAAAAAAAAGAAAGAAAGAAATTTAAAGAATAAAAGAAATACATCATTTGAAAAATTATTCAAAAATGAAAATCAAAAAAATTTTAAGAAATAAAAAAAATTTTATAATAAAGGAATTTATTTGTTTTACGTGGAAAATTTTAATTTTATACAAAAATTGTGAAAGAAAAAAAAAAAAAGAAAATAAGAAAAAAATGAAAATCTAAAAAATTCGAAAAAAATTCCATAAAATTTTAAAAGAAATATAAAAATAAAAGCAAAAAAAGAAAGTTAAAGAAAAGAAAAAAAGATGGAAAGAAAGAAAGAAAGAAAAAAAAAAAAGAAAGAAATATAAAGAAAGTCTATAAAGAAAGAAAATATTAAGAAAAAAAAAAAGAAAGAAAATAATTAATAAAATTATAAAGCAAATGAAAAAATTTAAAAAAAATGAAAAAAAAGAAAGAAAAAGAAAGAAAAATTAAAGAAAGAAGAAAATCTAGAAAAAAAAAATTTTCAAAGAAAAAAAGAAAGAATAAATTAATTGGAAAATTTTCCATAAAAAGAAATGAAAAGAAAAAAAAAAAAAAAATTGATTATAAAATGAAAAAAAAGATTAAAAAAATTATGATAGAAAAAAAAAAAAAAAAAAAAAAAAGAAAAGAAAATGAAAAAAAAAATAAAAGAAAAAATATTAGAAAGTAATTTTAAAAGAAAGAAAAAAAAAAAAAAAAAAAAAAAAATTAAAAAGGGCAAAGAAAAAAAAAGAAAAAAAAAAAGAAAGAATAAAAAATAAAAAAAATAAAAATATTGATGAAATTCAATGATTGATCAACAAAAAAAAAAAAAAAAAAAAAGAAAAATAAAAACAAAAATGAAAGAAATAAGCAAATTTTGATTTGTTTTAAAAAAGTAGATTAAAAAATGAGAAAGAATAAAACAATAAAAAAAAAAAAATAAAAAATGAAAAAAAAAAAAAAAAATAAAAATAAATTAAAAAAGCATAAATGAATTTTGACAAAGATAAAAAAAAGAAGGAAAAAAAAATTAAAAAGCTAGTATTTAAATGTGAGAACATAAAAAAAAAAAAATCAAAAAAAAAAAAAAATTTCATAGATTGGAAAGGGGAAAAATTAAAAAAAAAAAAACAACAAATCTGGAAAAAAATTGTTTTATATTTGAAAATATATAATAAAAAAATTTAAAAAAAATTTAAAAAAAATTAAAATAAAAAAAAAGGATTAAAAAGGATTTTTATTATGAGAAAACAAAATAGCTATATTGAAATCAACAAATTGAATAAAAAAAAAAAATTTGTTTTTTAAAAAAAAAAAAATTCAAAAAAAATTTTTTCTTTGTTGAATCAATTCAAAATGTTCTAAAATTCCTTTTAAGAAAAAATCAAAATAGAAATTAAATAATCAATTGTTATGTCTTTAAATTTTGAAACAAATTTTTTTCATATTTTTGTCATACAAGAATTTCAGTCAAAACATTATTCACGCCAACGTTGTTTATTTATATATATATACATCAACTGAATAAAATTCATGCAATTTTATGTGCATTCTTGTAAAAAAATTTCATGTCAAAAATTTTCTCTCTTAAAGACTTTTAGATTTTTCAAGAATTTTTTTTTTTTTTAAATTTTTTTTTTTTTTTTTTTTTATTTTTCACATTTTTTTTATGTTTTGAAAAAATTAAAATTTTTTTTTTTTAAATATCTATTGTGTTCAAAATATTGAAAATGAAAGAATTTTTTGAGTTAAAATGATATATGTCATCCATATTCAGTTTTGTTTTATTTTCATAATTTTTAATTTTCGATTTTTCTGTAAATGATTTTTTTATTTAGCAAAATCGGTTTTTTCCGTTATTTTTATATAATAAAAAAAAAAATTAAATGAGATAAATATATATCCCAGTAGATCTATCAGAAAAAAGAACAGTCTGAAAGAACCTATGGAATATAATTTTTTCTTTAAATTATTTTATATTTTATGAATTTTGCATGAAAAATTAAAATCTTAGATATTTGTTTTCAAATATTGAAATTCATTGTTTAAATGCTTTATTTAAAGCCAGAAATATATTTGGGTAAAAAAATGTTTTTGAATAAAAGCTTAATTTAAATTTGGAAAAAATTAAATTTAGTTTTTTGAAAAAAAAAATTAATTTAAATTTTAAAATTTAAATAAATTGAAAAAAAAAAAAAATATTTAATTATCAAATATTTATTTATATGATACTTTTAATTTTTATGAAAAAATTTTTATTACTTTTAATATTTTTTTGTTTATAAATCATAGATGTATTTGTTTTCGCAAATCTTTTAAATTAAAATTTTCTTCAGAAATAAATTTTTTTAATTAAAAAAAAAGAAGTAAAAATAAAAATCTCACATTTTTATTTAAATTTTTTTAAGAATTTTCTTGAAAATAAATTTAAAATAAAAAAAAAAATAATAAAACAAAATGAACAAAATTTCTGAAATGTTGATAATCCCAACAAAAATAAAAAAATATTATTTTGTTGTTCTACTTAAATTCATTTTTTATAATTCATATGAAAAAGAAAAAACTAAAAATTATCATGAAAACAATTTTCCAACATATATTTATATGAATGATTTTAATTTCCTGAAACTCACAACAAATTTGTTATATATATATATATATATATATATTTAATTAATTATCATTTTAAAAATGTTTAGGTTAAATCAAAAAATTTATAATCATCTTGAAGACCAAAAAAAAAAAATCAATTAATTTTTTCAATCCCTTACTTATTTTTGTTTATTTTTTATTTACATTTTAAAACAAATGAAATAAATAAAAATTGATAAAATTTTTTGTTCTTAAAAACAGGCCAAATTATATATTGTTTTTTATTTAATATATATTTATATATTTATAAATATATATATATAGATAATATTAATTTAATTCGAAAAAATCAATTTTTCTGTACAATGGAATAAAGAAATTACGGAATAGAAAATAAAATAAATCAATTTGAATTTGAAAAGAACATTTTTGTTAATCAAAAATAACATGGACTCCCATTTTTTTTTATATTAAATTAAGAAAAAAAATAGTATAAATTTTATTTATTTCAAAATTCGGAATTTCAAAATATATGAAATGATTCTATTTGACAGGTTTCCAAAAAAGAAAAATTAATTTGATAATTATATATATATATATATATTTTTTTAAATTAATTTTTCCAAAAACATTTTGAACTTATATTTTAAAATTCAAATTCTTTTTTGAATCTAATATGAAAAGACAAAGATATTTGGTAAAAAACTGAAATTTTTTTTGATTATTGATTGTTCATTTAATAAATTGTTTATAAAATATTTTATACAAATGAATTTTCCATTCATTTGTATTTTGGGAAAAACGATTTTTTTTCAATGAAATTTATATTTGTTTTTTATAAATAACTATTAAACTTCATTAAAATTTTGTTATTTGAAAGAATTTCATAAATTATGTTTTAATTTTAAAAGTTTCCTTTTTTTTTGAAAATTTCATAAAAGAATCTATTATCGATATATAAATTATAGATCGTCTTTATAATATTGCAATTTTTAAATTGCTATTTAACGTTCTTGAGATACATTTTATGTTTATTTAATCTATATTTCTTGAAAAAAAAATCAATTTTTCAAAATTGTACACATCTTTTTTTTTTTAAAATAATTTCAAAAAAAAAATAATTACATAAAACTAAACGATAGATAAATAAAAAAAAAAAAAAGAAAAGGCATAAAAATTTATAATTTTTAAGAAAAATAATATTTAATAATATTTAAAATTTTATATAATGAAGATTTTGAGGATTCATTAAATATTTACATAAAAGTCAAAGGTACTATTCATATATAGATACACATTTTTTTAATATATCAAACCATTTTTATACACTATATTTATAAAAAGCTCAGAATATAATAAAAACTTAAAATATTTATTTTGTATGTATCTAAATATTTAAAATTAAGGATAAATAGTATATTCTGGACAAGAGAATAAAAATAATTTTTGAAAAGTTTTGAAACACAACTTCTAATTTTGCGTCTTAAAATACACGTTTCATTTTTCAGTCAAAAAAATTATCTAAAATATTTTCCTTTCCAAAAAAATATATATATTTTT